ATAGTTCATTATTATATACACCGACCACTCTTAATTTCAGTACCAAATAGTTCATTATTATATACACCGACCACTCTTAATTTCAGTACCAGATAGTTCATTATTATATAAACCGACCACTCTTAATGTCAGTACCGGATAGTTCATTATTATATACACCGACCACTCTTCAGTACCTGATAGTTCATTATTATATACACCGACCTTTCTTAATTTCAGTACCAGATAGATCATTATTATATACACCGACCACTCTTAATTTCAGTACCTGATAGTTCATTATTATATACACCGACCACTATTATTATATACACCGACCACTCTTAATTTCAGTATCGGATAGTTCATTATTATATACATCGACCACTCTTAATTTCAGTATCGGATAGTTCATTATTATATACACCGACCACTCTTAATTTCAGTACCGGATAGTTCATTATTATATACACCGACCACTCTTAATTTCAGTACCGGAAAGGTCATTATTAAATACACCGACCACTCTTAATTTCCGTACCAGATAGTTCATTATTATATATTACGACCACTCTTAATTTCAGTACCTGATAGTTCATTATTATATACACCGACCACTCTTAATTGCAGTACCAGATAGATCATTATCATATACACCGACCACTCTAAATTTCAGTACCTGATAGTTCATTATTAAATACACCGACCACTCTTAATTTCAGTACCGGATAGTTCATTATTATATACACCGACCACTCTTAATTTCTTAACATTTCAGCATTAGATACTGAATCAAAATATTTTCTACACTTTCACCGTTGTAGATAAAGATTTGTAATGCTGACTACGGTACAGCAAAAGCATCTATCTACATACTCTACCACTGTCCCACGTCATAGCGGAGTAAATAAAGAACTTTATACTGTGTTAATGATGTCTGAGCATAATTTTTTTGACAACACAATTCTAAAGTTTATATACATTCTTTAACATTACGTGCATGATTCAAGTTTATTTAATAACAATAAAAATTTTAACATTCCAAATAGAAAAACAATAAATAAATACAATTGAAACGTGATTTCTTTACAATAATATATTATTCCTTGAGTTCATGATAAATTTTGCTGATATTTCCAAAATGTTGGCTCTAACGCATGCTACAAATTTACTTTACTTCTTACTTGTAAGTAAATTTGGCTTGAATAGTTCTTAAAAACTGCGAAGTATGAAAGGTTAAAATTTTAAAAAATCCAGATTTTAAATAATGAAAGACACTTCTATTTTCTCGCGCGGAAGGCAGCAAGAGATTATAAATATCACAACCTTTACATATAATATCATAATTCAGATTATAGGAGTATTATCAAACCCTGGTATAACGGGGTCATCTGTAACAACTACTCCAATAAGTTGAACCTGGAGCGGTTAATACTGCATCTCTGTATATCCTAGCATACATTGAGCATCTCTCATGAAACCTGATTATAGAACCCAAAAACATTTTCTTCTATCTGACCAGGGAGAATCCCGTTAAGCTTGCTTTCATGAGAGTTTATACCACTACTGAATGCTTCAGTAGATTCAAGCTCTATCCTGGAGGAAGTTTTATTTGTGAACGATCCCTTAGGTCTACCTCGTTTTCCTCCTGCTCCCGTCCTGTCTCGTTTACGTTTAATTGGAGCCAAACCAGGTTGGTCTGGAGATAATTTGGATTTACTAGATCCCGGAGAAGGGTCTGGGACATGTTTTCTCTTCAACGGAGTTGATTTCTTGGCTTCCATTTTCTCCTCCTCCTCAACCTTCTCTCTAACCTTCCGGTCCAGCTCATCATCATCCAATAATAAACTAACAACCTAAACATATAATTAATTAAAAGTAGTTCAGCTTCAACTTTGTAAAATAACGTTCATAAAAACAAAATAAGTAAATTCGGTCAATTAAGTCAACGCTATAATAACGAAGGGTCTTTAGACCCAACCCAGTACAACAGTGACAATTTTTACTAGAAATAACGATATATTTGATAAAATAATTTTTTGCCTACCTCCTTAGGTTTGAGATCAGCTGATTTCCCTTTAAAACTACCACCTTGTATCACCATGCGATGGATTTCAGATTTCTCTCTGAAATAAAAAAGGATTATCACGAAATTATTTAAGTAAAAAATGGATATATTTCAGAGAAAGGCAATTAAAATTATCCGCCAGTAGTTACTGCTTTCCAGATAGGTGGCGTATAACGATTGTTAGTTTTTTACCGCATTATTAGGGTCTATGTGAGACGGTTTAATTTCAAATCTGTAATGAAGAAAAAATATTGAAGTAAGTTGACCTACCTAGCCCTCTGTAGTATTCTCTCTTCTATAGTTCCCTTACAGATTAATCTGTACACTGTAACCTGCTTAGTCTGTCCCAGTCTGTGTGCTCGATCCATTGCCTAAACAGATTAATAGATTAAAAGCACTGCAAACAGATAGAAGGATCTTGTCAAAATTATAAGACATTACTGCAACTGGATCAACTTTGTGTCCTCATAGCTCCTCGAGTTTGGATAACACAGTAAGAGGGAAGCTAATTGATCCTGTTAGATATTTTATTTTAAAACATTTTGTTTTTTTCTCATTAGCTCTATTATAAGAGGAGTATTGATTTCAACCTTACGTAAAATTTGCATCACTTTGACGTAAAATACGAAATTATTAGTTAGACATGTTAAATGTAGATTAAAGTTAATTTGATAAAGGAATGCATCAAATCAAACTAAAAATAGGGAAATTCAAGTGTCAAGTCCTTAATGACAAGTTATTCAAAATGTTAAATCTTGTGGCTTTTGTCGTTCCAACTTACGTCAACAATTATGATTGTAGATTACACATTTCGAAAAATGTATAGGCGGTAAAATTGCTTCTGGCCTCTGGGTCTATCAAACCTCGTATATCCTTTACTAAAAAGTATAGGAAAGTCCGGTAGATTGAAATATTGAGGGTTTAATAACATTAACTCTAACCATTAACTAATTAATTGAAGAAATTTACGGTAATACTTCAGAGAACGAGAATCTTTTTATATTTATCCAAGCCTGAAGAGCTAATGGTTAGATTTAATGTTATTAAACCCTCAATGTTTCAATCTACCGAACTTTCCTATACTTTTCAGTAAAGGATATACGAGGTTTGATAGACTAAGTCGTAAAATCACCCCCAACAGCAATTCTGCGCCTATACAATTTTCGAAATGTGTAATCTACAATCATAATTAAAAATCCGGAGCCTGTCCTTTATATCTTAGCTCGAATATTGTACAATGCTCTTTTAGTTAAAAATTTTTTAAAAAATAAAAATTAGTCTGTACTTTTGTCGAATGTCATAACATTTTTATCAACAGCTTATCAGTAAACTTGTTTCAATGACCGGAATAATGTATGTTACATGACCGCTCTGTTTGACCGGAACTCCTTATCCACCCCCACCCCTCATCTCCGCCTGGTATAAATATGAAGTGATCGGTCAATAGTTTCATCAGTACAACTCTAACACAACCAGGATGAACATGAAATATTCTATTCTTCTCATCCTCTGTATCCTCTGTATCCTTGTATCAGGAGAGGATATTTCTGAGGATATATTTGTATCTTTACTCTCAACCCAGATACAATCTGCAACCTGTGATAATAAATGTTCAGGATTAACCTCCAAGGATCAAGAGTATAAATGTCTCAAGGTTTGCCACGATGGATCTGTTTGTGATCATATCTCCAAGTACTCCTGGCTATGTGGAGAAGGATGTATACAGGCGTGTAGTAGCTCTGTCCTACCTTCAGTGTTCATCCAGAACCTAAAGCAGGAGTCCTGCGTCCTGTCCTGGAAACTCAACGAGGACGTTCCTATCAGATATATTATCGGAGCCCAGGATAGATCAGGAATGCTCAAGATTCTCCGGGACGGAATTAGCTCTGACTGGATCCATCTTACACCAGAAGACTTCTTTTTGTTTGACAAAATGTTCCTCCTTGCTGTATCATCAGATGGTCTAGCTGATAAAACTAGCTTGGAGCTAAACCCTCTTCTATGCAACCCTACCCTGGAGACACAGGAGCTAATCCAACCTAAACCCGGTTCTAAGAACATGGTTTATCTTTTAGTATCCGTCCTTGTCCTCTTCTGTGCTGTTTCAACTACCCTGATCCTGTCCTGTGTCCTGTGCAGAAGAAGGACTAGTGTAGAGAAGGTTGAGTCCTCTAAGGACAAGGTTGAGAGATTGGAAAGATTGGATATGTTTGTAGATCCCACAAGTTTTGAGGATTATCAAGAGATTGATGAATGTATTAGTTCTCCCGTAACTAATTTTTGTAAATAACTTATATCAAAAGAAATAAATCACTTTACAAATAGAAATTATTTTTTCTTTACACGACTTAGATTTCAATGCTAGTCGTTAAAAACTAAATTTCACTCCAATCTAGAGTCTAAACAAAAGAAAAAGTTTTATTTTATGCGAATTTATTGATACAACTTTATGACCTTGTAGCTCCTATTGTTTTGATTTTACGGCAAAGTATGAGATTAACAATTTTTAAGAGAGGATTTTATGACAGAAAACATTCAAGATTTTAATCTAACGTGAATTTTTCTTTAATTTAATGTGTTTACTGTTAATTAGTCTACAGTGATACTACTTCTTATAATAGGTAAAAATTATGAAGAATTTATTTACCTGCTGATCAACAGTTGGATTCCAGTCACTATCATAGAATATTACAGTATCTGCAGCTGTCAAGTTTATTCCTAAAATACAAAATAATCAGAGCTAAAGAGGTCAAAACGTATAATAATAACCTTAAAAAAAACTTGATCTCGATATCAATGCAACAATATTTAAATTTGAGGAATAACGGCTTGAATCTTCAATGATCTCTGCTGAGTCCGAATTTAATGGATTTGAGCTGCGTCTCAAATCCGCCAAAAACAGGTTTCAATTCAGCGCCGGCTTAAATGTTGAAACATTGAACTCAATTTTAAGTGGACCCAACCATATTTGAACCGCGACTCATATTCTTTAAATTCAGCCCCTGGATTCTAGTATATATAATATATTATAATATATAATATATTTCAGCGTTTGAAAGATGCTTTTCAAGCGGCCAGTTATTTATCGTAATTGTGAAACTCAAATATTGCGGATAGTTAGAGATTTTAATAAAAAGTCAACCTAGCCAAATGTATGTCTATATATAATTAAATGCTTGGTGTCTGTCATTGAATATAACTAATTTTTAAAAATCAATGGTGGTCGGTTTCAAATTTCACCATAATTATTCTGCCTTTTTTAAACATCAAACAATTTTTGTTGTTGTAATGTTTACCTAGACCCCCAGCTCGAGTTGAGAGAAGGAAAACAAAAATATCCTAGTTGCCCATACATTCATTTATCAATCATCAACAAGACAAACTGCTAGGGAATTTTTCTTTAAAAACTGCAGGACACGAGAACTTTAGGGTGTCATTTCTATAAGAAAAGGTTTAAATCATTAAAATTAAATCAACTAAAGAAACTGTAAGCATAATTTCAATTGACCCTCCATGCAAAGATGGCAATGTCGGATTCCCAATGGTACCCTTTAAAGCGTTGTATTATCAAGTATGAATTAGATATCAATGTTTATAATTTCGAAAACTGATTATTTTTAATTAAGGTTCTATTACAAAAGTGACTTGCGTTTTTCTACTGCTGGAAAACATCTAGGTTTTATCAGAAATAAACACACCTATAAAAAACAACAATATATCAAATATTTTTAAATCTAATTAAGGTTTTATGGCTACCGTTGTAAATAGGGCCCTGCCATCTTTGCACGGAGGTTCCATTGAAATTAGGCTTTCAGTCCCTTTCAGGCAAGCAAAGAAAAGACTTAATAAGAATATAAATAATTAAATATCTAAATAATGAATACTGAATAGGAATGAATAGAAAGAAAGTGATGAATGTATGTGTATCCCTGTCTGGACTGGAAATCTGAGACCATATCTCTTCTCTCATGTATCTTACTAGAACCGTCTAGACGGATATAGGAGTGCTGACGGTAAGACATAAACTCCTCCAGCAGATCTATCATCTACAAATAGAATTATTCAAAATAAACAATTTCTTTACAAAAAAACGTTTTTGGGAGAAATTAAATTTTGATTGCAAATATTTTTTTTTTTTAACGAGTCTGATCTGAGTAAAAACTTTAAATAAGTAACCGTTGATGTCCCGTTGATTACAAGAATGAAAAATGTATATGTTGAAGGATTTTATATTAAATTTATTACTGAAATGGTAGATACGTTTTGTAATGAGTAACAACCAATGTCGCCATATTTTCCAAAATGTTGCATATTTTATCAAAGAAAATATACTACATCGATTGAAAATGTTTTCGTCAAAAATAATTTAATAAAAGCTACTGGAAGCTCGATAATTAGTTAAGAGACGTTTCAGGTCTTTTAATTTTCACCTTGGTCATCTGAGAGTAGATAAGGACCCTGTGTCCCTCTTCCTTCAGCTTAGTGAGGAGTCCGTCCAGGACAAACAGCTTCCCAGCGTCGTTAATCAAGGAGTCCTTGTCCGGTATAAGTATATTTGACCAACCATGTGGAGGACTAGATCCAAAAATTCCTTGAGGAGGTGAGCAAGTGTAATGTAGAGGAACTGAATCCATGCCTTGAAATATCATATTCTTGGCACTAGGCGCGGATCCGGGTCCAATCCAGATCCGGATATGGTCCTGTTTTCGGTTTTCCGCCGTCCTGCTAGAGCAATCCAGATACTGTGGTAGAGCTCCGGCTCTAGGCGGAAGGTTCATGAGGAATCCGGGACAAGGTGTAGGAACACATTTACGTATCCGGGGGGGACGCGGGAAATGCGGAAACTCTGGAACTAATGGAACCGTTCCATCATCAAGCTCCCTGGAACTGACAAGATGTCGGGAACGGAGAATTCGATGAGAAATGGTTTCAGGAACAGAAACAATGGAATGATCACAGTGAGATAGGAAGGTTGAGTTTATTTGAGTGATAAGAAACTTCTCCGGTATACTGGGACGGTTTGAGTATGCCTCCTGGAGACTTTGGACAGTTCTCTGGGCTATCAGCAACCACTGATGGTAAAGGTTCAATACCTAAAAATGATAAATCATTAAAATTAGCCAGCTATGAATTAAAAATGTTATGAATTTACGAGAAAAAAAAATTATATAAAAGATATCCGCAAATAATGTGAAACCAAGGATTTCCAAAATACAGAATAGGTTGATGATTTAAGAAAACAAAGCAAAATAGAAAAAGAATTGCTCTCTTAAAACTCCAATAATTAAAAGATTTGTTTGATTAATAATGAATAAGTAATAGTTATGAATGTTTAAAATTTTATTTTCAATTATGTTTTCTCTACAACTTTTCTACTGACTACTGCAGAAAAACATGCAAGAATAATCAGAATTTAACACTTTCAAGCCAAGAAAAACGACATTATCTTTCAAACTATTGACCAGATAAAGGTTTCTAAGTTACCGTTGTAAATCTGGCATTGTCATTTTTGCATGGGGGGTCCCTTGAAACTACGCTTTAAGCCCATTTAATGATCATTAAAAATAACTAGTTTACCTGAGATTCTAGTTCTGCCGGAGAAAGTTTGACAATGTTTAAGAATCCGAAAGCTGAATCTGGAACCTCCAGGTACTCCCTGTGAACCCTGTCAGCTCGGAACACGGAGAACTTGGGAGACTCTGCGATGAAGTTTGGTTTATCCTGCAAGAGTAGCCGCGGGACGGAGATGGGCGGGACAGAGAAGATAAACGGAGATTTAGGTTCTCGTCTCTCGAAAAGCTCCGGGTGGTTGCAGACCTTCCTGAACTGCATGACAAGGTTCATGAGACTTGAAACTCCTCCAAGAGTACCAGATCCCAAACCTAAACCTGCCAACAACTCCTCTATCTGAATATTCTTCTTCAGTCCAGCGTAGAGAAGTTTTTGTCTGAAAAATATAAAGAGCATTTTATGGGAGTGTAACCATTTCACAAAATTTTGAAATTTTCTTGAATTGGACGATTTTATTAAATTTTTAGCTGCAAATACTATTTTAGTTTAGAGATAATCGCAAATTTAATTTCAACCTGAATTTATCCCTACCTGATGGTCAGTGGACAGTAAAGCAGGATTTCTAGCTTGTCGGTCAGTTCGTGTTCAACATCTTTCTTTATCCTAAACAATAAATGAATCATAATTTCACAGACTTTTAAAAACTTTACAACCGTGTTGCCTTTATCTTGACCTTGATTTTAACTTTGACTTAAACAGAGACCTTGATTTTAACTTTGACTTAAGTAAGTAAAGTAAAAAATTATTTATTCATGAAATATAACATAAACATACAAAATTAAGTGTTTCAGGAGAAAATATTTAAAACCTCTAAAAGTAGAGGTTGTGGGAATCCCCCCAATTCTAAAAAAATATATAAAAATAGAAATAAAAGGAAACGGAAAGGAAAGGATAAGGAAAGTTACATATTTATTGTATATTTAACATAAATTAGTGGTAGATTGATAGTATTTTTCGACGATGAACTAACAACTTTCAGAAATAAAAATTATAGATTTATTTGTAATGTTTAAAAAAAAAGTAAAAAAGCTTTATGGAGTGTGAAAAAGATACAGGTTCGATGAAAAACGGGCATTTTTAAGCACCATTTTAATTCGGGCTTATTTTTGACATCCTTTATGTCAAATTATACCTAGGTCTTGACCTAAATTTCTATCTTTATCTTAACCTTTATTTTAACTTAATCTTGACCAGAGACCTAAGGCCGAATTTGAACCGTGTTGCTGAACCGCCAAAAACCGGCTCCAAATGAGCGCCGGCTCAAATTTCGAATACAAATTCAAGTTAGCCCAACCATGTTTAAGCCGCGTCTGAAATTTGATACGCCGCTCAAATTCTTTAAATTCGGCCTCTGGGTCATGACCTCAATTTTCAGCTTTATCTTGACCAATTATAAACACGTACCTGCGAAGCATAAAAGGCTTGAGAATGAGATGTAAGCGAGATATTTGCTTTTCATCAACCTAGAATCAAATATATTGAAATTAAACATTGTTTGGATTCAGATATCTGGATCAACTTAATCCAGCAATAGAACTCTGGGCCCGGATCCTCAACGAAAAAATATCCATATCTATCTATATCTTTGCAACCTGATGGTGTAATACTTGACTTAGACTGTTTGATCTAACAGAATTCTTAGGTTGAAATATCAAACATGCACACGACAGGGTTGCAAAGATATAGGGATTAAAAATCAGAGTTTGCGCAAGAATTTGGCTTCTTTGCAGCCAAAACAAAGATGAAAAAACACGGTTTTCTTTATAAAATGTGAAGTGTCAACTAATGAGCAGTGAATGGTAAATCAAACTTCTGCAAAAAAAAACTAGCGCAAAATGGAAGTAGCAAATCTTTTGGTAAAAAAAGTATTCACGAGTTGGATCCTGCTTTCTACAGAATTAAAGGATCCAGAAATATTAAATAAGACTATTGGACGAAATTTGGATAGTGATTTCAGGTCTTTAGTTAAGAAACAACGCTGGAAAGTTAGGTTGTAGTACCTTAGCCCTGGAACCCTCAGCGTGTCCCTCGATATCCCTGCTGAACCATTCCTTGAACTCGTCGTGGGAGTCAAACAGGGCCGGCATTACGAAGTGTAAGAGGGACCACAGTTCAGCCATCGTATTCTATAAATCATAACACACATAACACAATAATTTTCTTCCCTTTTTCAAAATTTGAATCATATTCAGGACGAAGTCCAATTTTTATATTTTACGACGTCATGCTCAAAATTTTGCTTTAAAGAATAAAATGACCTGAATCGGAGTTCCTGAGAGAAGAAGACGACCTCGACATTTAAACTCAAGCAACATCTTCCATCTCTGATTACCAAAGAAATTTTCAAAACTTTTTAAACTTAAAGAAATGATGTTAACATCAGGAATTTTCCACTTCAAGGGATTGTAAGTTAATTTCAAAGATGGCAATGCCCAATTTATTACGCTACCCTTAAAAACTTTGTCTGATCAAGTATGAATCGATATATATAAAGTTGTAATCTCTGTTTGTCTGTTTGTTTGTTTTTCCGATCATAACTCAGGAACCCGTGGACCGATTTGCTTGGTTTTGAGATTCTAAGTTAAGTGGGTCGACTTTAAAAGAAAAAAATTTAGTTTCCCGGTAAAATCGTTAAAGTGCGGGTAAACGACATGAGTTACTTATAGTAACCTGGGCAGCGCTGGGTTTAGATATAAACGTTTTTTTTTTTTAACTGTTAATTTTAATTTGCGGTTTCTGTGAAAGTGACTTGTGCATTTCTTTTTTTAAGAAGCAATGGAGAAACACACATTTTTCCATATTTTTGATCAGATTAAGGTTTCAAGGGTACCGTTGTAAATCGACGATGCAAACTTTGCATGGAGGGTTTAAAATTACACTTACAGTCCCTTTCAGTGCAAACAAATTGATAATTATCTATCTTGATTAGTGTAATAATTAATTCAAAATTTGAGATTCTAAGATTTCAATTTATCCCTGACTGTTTGCAGACTTGATGGCTTGTGCCTCATCTAGAACCATATACTGCCAGCAGTGCTTACTGAAGTACTTGAAGTCGGATACTATGATCTGGTAGCTAGTGATCACTATATGGAAGGATGCATCTCTAGTGTGTAGGTTGGACTGGGACCAGAACCCACGGAGAACCTGCAAATCAACGAATATACAGTGGTTCACATAATACCGTGGAATAGTTATTTTAATATTGGCTTTGGAACGATTTCATTTCCTTTACCAAATTTATTTGGCATAAATACTATAAAACAGCAAACGCAGATACACATTTAAAGAAACACAATTTACCTCAAAAATAGACCTTGATTGGTAATAACTGATAACATTCTCAAAAGTTTTTTTTAAAATAATATTCAGTCTACACGTTTTTACCAATTTGCAAAATTTACATTTATAATCAATCTGCATACCTTGCGTTCCTGTGGACTACCCCAATATGGTATAGTTTTAAACTCTGGTAGAAACCTTGCTAACTCCTGTTGCCAGTTATGCAAGGTGGAGGCGGGTGTGACCACGAGGAACGGTCCCCAAATACCATAGGTTTCGGCCACGTAGGCTAAGAAGGCCAGGGATTGGACGGTTTTACCAAGACCCATTTCATCAGCCAGGATACCATTAATCCCTTGATCGTATAGAGAGCACAACCAGTTCATACCCTTCAGTTGGTAGCTCTTCAGGGTACCCTGCAAAACAATACAATTTCATTTTAATTTTAATAACTTTTCAAAATGTGGATTTCTAGTAATCGTTTAATTGTGGAAAAAGATTTAACCTGAAAAATCTTAGGTTGAGGCCGGTCTCCGGCAGTTTCGGCGGCCTCTGACATCCTCAAGCCTCCGCTAGCTGCCGCTGACCGATCATAACTTAACCTGGAATCTTCCTGTTTCTTCGCAGCAGCTGCAGCTGCTACTCTAGCAGCTTCCTTAGCCTCTCTTTCATTATAATCATCCAGATCCTAAATATTTCAGTCCTTCAAATTAATTTATCAAAATTAGGACTTATACCATTGGGCCACTTTCATTGGACTAATTTGCAACGATAACCATCTTTTCAGCATGTTTGGGAAAAACTTGGGAAGCATTAAGATGTTGTTTTTAGCGAAAAATTAATTGAAAATCTAAGAAGTGGGGTAAGCTCGTAAGGTTTTATTTTTTTTCAGGTACTTGACACTGACACAGGATATTTGTTCTTTCTTTTTTATCTCAAATATAAGTAGAATAGATAGATAACCTACCCTGACCCTCTGTTCCTGAATATCTGAATCTAGCCTGGATAGAATTGTCTGCTCCGTTTCTCCAGTTCCAACTCCCATCTTGCCAGCCATAAAGTGGGCATACAGCTCGGTCTAAACAATATTATTTGTGCAGTTTAATCTATCTATTTCAGAAGATTCTCTGCCCCCCCCCCCTTATTTGGTGCGATTAGATGGTTGCCGTGAGTATGCTAGAACAATGATCAACAATATAGTCAATTGTAACGACCTCAAACATCAAAATTAAACAAATGACAATTTAAGCGTCTCTCAGGTTCGGTTTAAATTAAAAATGACGAATTAGTTAGAAGGGTTGAACAAGATTATGTCGGATATTGTAAGTGTTTTAATACCTGTGTAATCAAATAGTTTAGCTTCCTTTGTTGACGTTTAGCCTAATATAAACTAATTATTAACAACGGGAATACACTTCATTGTTGTTTGATTAATATAGTTGAATGTTATTGTTATCAAATCAAATCAACTTTGAAACATGATAAAATGGACCGATGAGCGTATTTAATAAGATTATAAAAAATAACATTTCTATGATTTTTTCAAGATTTAAACTTGAGCCCAGAGCCATAGGATTCAGCTTTAAATGTTTAAGAAAAAAGTTTTGACTTGATCAAAAATATTCTAGATCTTTAAAGGTGATTGAGTTGCCTTTTCTTTTATATGGAAATCAAAGCAAATATCTAAGTTTAGTTTAGACTTTAAAGGACTTCAGTACTGTAATCTTACGTTACTGGTAGTGCAATCGTCCGAATCATTTATAATAAAAGAAAATGCCATATTCATCCATCCCACCAATCTTCTGTTGCGTCTAAAAGTTTAAAACTTGATAAAATTTATTTTCCACAGAATTATTTGAAGTCCGCTGTTAATAATATTTTCCTCGATGAGTTCTATGTCCTGTTTCCTCTGCTCCTGTTCAACCTTCTCCTGAGCTCTCTTTTGAATCTTCTCCTCTCTCTCATTCTTCTTCCAGAATGTCTGAATCAATCGAATACTAATTAATGAAAATTATTTCCTGTTTAAACGATTTGTGAGTTCTCTCTTTAGACCTCGTATAAAAATTAATATTGGCCTTTGGGCTTTTATGTCTTTTGTTTGTGTCTAGTAAACGCCAAAACTATGGATCAGGACCAATTTTATGTTGGACCACACATGACCCCCAGGGAGGGTGAGAAAATTGAGACCTCAAAAATAAAATCGATTTTTAATCAATTTTGTAAATCCAATTTGAAAACAAAAAGAAGCTCAGTAATATTAAAAAATTGTTAATTAGTTTACGAATGGAAAAAGAAAAACAAAAAACATTCAGAGAATCCTGATTCCTGTAATTAACCATGACAGATATTTTCTCCTTTTTTGGTATGGAATATTAGGCATTAAATCACTAACAATGATATCATTAACAATACTCAATGGTAATGATATCATAGATTTTTAATGATATCATTGATACCATCATTAATACTAAAATGATGGATTAACTGCAATCTTTAAAATAAAATTAAGTTAAATAGGAATTTAACCATAAATAGAAAATTGTAGAACAGCACATTATACCTGAACTTCCCTTGCAATCCTTTTAGCGCGCCAAATACTTTCTTTCATAATCTTCTGACTGGTTGTTGCACGTTGTCTCTGTACGCGCATACACGATGTAGCAATGCGCTTAGCATTCGCCAGCTTCTCCTTTGAGTTGTAATTACGTGCTTTCATTCCCTTTACAACCTCCTGGAAAACAAATATTTTAAGTTTTTAACCACAATATCAAAACTTTATTTTAAAACTGTTTTCTACCTTTTTCATAATATGAGACCACAACTTATATCTCTGTAGATTCTTGAGATCAAGAGGCGACATTTTGTTCACCTTCGCCGGCCTTCCCTTTGACTTAGACTTAACCTCTCCTCCCTTCTCTTTTCCCGCCTTTTCCTGACCAGTAAGTAGGGCGTGGCGCAATCTCTTTAGTTTCACGTGTTTCTTTAATAAGGATGTTAAATATTCTTGCTTGTTTTCAAGCTTCACCTCAGTTTCTTTCTCTTTCCGGCTGATGTCGATATATCTTTTTCTAAAAATATTTAGATTAAGTTTACAAAAACACTTTTCTAAACTAGATGCATATTTTTAAGATTTTTATTTACTTGAATCCTTGTGATGAATAATATTCTCGGCAGATTTCTAACTTCTCTTTAGTCATCTCCAGTCCACTGTATTCCTCCTCAATGACGTCAAGAAACCTGGACTCCAGGCCATCAACAAAAGTCTAAACAATCAATCAATCATTTTCTAAAAGGATTTTAAAAATATAATTTTCATTACAATTTTCATTCCAATTTTTATTTGTTTATTTACCTGTTTATCACAATTATTCATTGGTTCATAATTTATGTATCTATTCACAATCTATTCATCGGTTAAACATTTATTCATCAGTTCATCTTTTTATCATTCATTCATCTATTCATCATTCATTCATCTATTCATCATTCATTCATCTATTTATCTATTCATCATTCATTCATCTATTTATCAATCATTCATCATCCATCATTCATCATTCATTCATCTATTCATTCATCATTCATCATTCATTCATCTATTCATCATTCATTCATCTATTTATCATTCATTCATCTATTCATCATTCATTCATGTATTCATCATTCATTCATCTGTTCATTATTCATTCATCTATACATCATTCATTCGTCTATTTATCAATCATCCCTCCTTTCATCATCCATTCATCTATTCATCATTCATCCTTCTATTCACCATTCATTTATCTATTCATCATTCATTCATCTATTCATCCCTCATCCAACCTTTACCTATTTTCTATATTCTATTATTTCAATTAAGAGCTAAAACTACCATTAAGGTCCTTTTCAGTACAGTAACAATAGGAAAGAATCACATAAATAACCCTTTATATACAATATACATATTATGATCGCTTAAGGTCTATTCCAAGTTTCCTTTCCTATGACTTCGTTGATCAAACTACTTGGAAGATTTACAAAAATAAGTCATTACATACCTGAGAAGCTGAATACGAGTCTAAAATATTGACTAGATGCTGCATATTCAGAGCACTTTCCAGTTTCTGCATTCGGGCTTTTAGAGACTCCCTGGGTTTAGGTTTACTCCGAGGTTTAGGTTTAGGTTTCGCTACGGGAACTCCAGGTCCCGGCATCTGCTGGTTGTTCACGAACCCTTTCATCTCCTTCGAAGGCGGGGATGAGAAAATGTTTTTGAGCCTGAAGTCCGCAGGGTTTACTGGTATCAAGTTGGACGGGTTGGGGGCTGGAACATATTTAGGAGAAACTCCAGACTTTAAAAGAGAATTTTCTGTCTTGGACGGAGACAGGTTTTGCTTCTTTGGCTCGGCCAGGACTGGTAGCTCCTCGGCATGGATTAGATTTCCTTGAGCAGAGAGAAGCTGAAGACCATGTAGAGCGGAGGAGTCATTACCGAGAACTCGACCATCCTACGATAGGAGAAAATATTCTAAATAACTTTTAAGACAATTGGCACGTTTAAAATATAAGTCCCAACCCCTCCCCTATCACAATAGTCAGGTTTAGTTTTTTTAATAGAAAAGAAAAATTAATTAGAACTTCACTGCATTGGATTAAGTTAGATATAATTTTTTAGGTATTTTAACACTGATAAAAGGGCATTAATAGTTTCTAACCTGAGTAACTAAACGGAAACTGTCGAACCGAGGAGGAGATTTTAACTCTGTCCAGTCCTTTCCTTGAACCAGATTCAAGGACGGAGCTGGGGTCAAGGTTGTGTCTCCTAAACGAATCTCTGGAGCGGAGTTAAGATTTGTGCTGATAATCCGAGCCATTGGAACGTTATCCGGAGACGAACTAACTGAAAATAAATATTTTCTTATTGGAAATCAAAAAGTTTTACAATATTGGCTGCAACACCTTTTTTTAAAGATATGATAAAAAATGAATTTTTTTTTTAATGTTCACTGATTTAGGGACCAATTTTAACAAGAAATACGGAAAAAATTACAATTGATAAGCAGATGGCATTGAAATTCCACTCTTTCAATAAAGATAAAAACTACAGGATATAGAAAAAAATGAAATGCTAAACCTGGATGTTGGGAAGACTGTAATGATCTGACATCAAACCTTATCACCTTCTGTCCTCCCTCCTCCAGGTTGGACAAAAACACTTTCCGCCCTGATACAGAGGGCGATACAGGTGAGTGTGATGTGGTTACAGGTACAGGATTAGGAGTCCTAGGTACAAAGTTGGAACTCGTCACTGGGATAGGTTCAGTTAAGTCAGGTTTAGGTCCAGGTACAGGTTGGGTAGAGCGGATCTGAGCACCAGGATACTGAGACCGAGGGTTGAGAGCTAAATATTGAGAGAGGGGGATAGTTTGAGCTGCACCGGGAATGACATCAGCCTGCGCAGCCGTCGCCGTTAAAATATTCTTGTTAACAGCGTTGTTGGCTGTTGCAAACCTGATATTGGCGGATCCAACAGTTGTGGAGTTTGTCCCAGATATGATGCTGTAAGTATGAGTATTAGAACCAGGATTTTGGACTAACCGAACCTGACCGCCTGAAGATAGAGTTCCCACAGACAATGTCTGGCTCCCAGTTTGTCCCGTCCTAACCGGAGCAGAGAATCTGAATGTTTGACCCGGAACAAGATTAGTTACACCACCGGGGGATCTATTTAAGGGTTTTGAGACCAATGAGTAAGAAATAGATCCTGTTCCTTGCAATGGAGCCGGTGAAGTTGCACTGGATTGAGCTCGAATGGATTGAGTTAAGAGCTGAGCTGGTCCTGTAAGAACTGATGATCTCGATGAGAGACGGATAAACTGCTGCTGGGGTTGTGATGGAAGAGAAACATTGGAAGGAAGAACTGTGCTCCGTCTGAAAACAAAATAATTAACCATTGATCGATTCATAGACGTTGGGAATAGTTCTTAAACCCGCATTTAAAAACAATTTGTATTTAGAACTGTTATCCTTGTTATGATTTTCGCAAAAGATCTCCTCTCCTTTCATAATTTTGAATTTTTGTTGTAAACAAAGAAAGAGTCAAGCTCATTCTAGGTTAAAAAATAATTGATTCTTTATTAAGCTTTTTTTTAAACAATTTAAAAAGAAAAAATGGCAGTTTTCTAAAAAAAAACTTTGTTAGGCGTCAAGAGCTAAATAAATCTGGTGAACATTCTATTTTAGCTTTTTTTTACCTGATGATAAACTGTTGTCCATCTGCAGTGCGTATTATCTGGTTTTTTTACCTGATGATAAACTGTTGTCCATCTGCAGTGCGTATTATCTGGTTTTTTTACCTGATGATAAACTGTTGTCCATCTGCAGTGCGTATTATCTGGTTTTGTAGACTGGTCCTGAGAAATAACCAAATTTAAATATCAGTCCTGAAGCCTGCAAAAGAGGTAGAAGTTTTTTTTAATTTTTTCTTACCCCATAGATTCCTGTTTAACCAAAACTTTTTGACCCTGTTGTGCTGTCTGAATATAACCTAAGTAAAAAAATTGACTTTCAACAAATAAATTCAAATCCAAAATTTAATAAGAAGTGAAGAAAATCTTACTTGGCTGACTTGAGAGTCGTATTTGGTGTAGTTTCTGTTGTTGTGGTTGTTGTGTAGCAACCTGAACAATCCTTGGTTGCAGAACAGTACCTGTTTGTGGTTTAGAACCCTCCAACGGGATGGATTGTTGGTTTGAATGTTTAATATTAGGAGGCTGGATTATCCGAACTACTTGATGTCTTTGGTTTCCAACAATAACAGATTTCTGACCTTGAATACTAGGCACCCGCACAACCTGACCGGCAATGTTAATGCCGGACGGTGCACGAAAGATTGGTTGACCGGTCTGGTTTATGGATGAAGGGTTGGTAGAGTTATTCATCCTTGTAGAGCTTTGCAGGAACACCTGGTTTCCATTTAGCTGTGCTCCGGACACATGAATACTCCTGGATATTCCAGGTACACCGCCCCCGTTCACGATTCTCACCTGCCCGCCGGTATTAACGGTACCGGTATGTTCAAACAATCCGGCGGTGGTTCCCTGAGGCACCCCCGATGGCGGTTGGCCAGGTCCAGCTGGAATACTTCCGGATACCAGTTGGCCATTGCCAGGCAAGCGAATAGCACCGCTTTTGATGGAAGCTAGAATTGGATGGTTGGCCGGTAGCACAGTATACTTCAAACCTGGCCGTTTTTCGGTCATAGTTTTCTACTCGTTCATTTTGTAAGTATTTTTAGCAATAAAGACGGAATTATCCGCTGCATTCTGAAAAAAGAGACTTAAAATTTAACGTTATCTCGAATCCAAAAATTAATAATTTTCCTGCTTTAAAAATATTTGTATTAATGGAGGGTAATCTTCTGGAGAACGCTTTTTGGACCTCTCGCTGTTATTTAAACATTTACTGGATTAATTCCACCAAAATATTATTAAATTTTGCCTCATAAGTTATATTGAATTAAAAGCACATGTGTCAAGGGCTTTCACTTAACAATTCAATTTCTTGACTATATATTTGAAAATAGTTCGTTTGAACATAACACTGACATGATCGATAAATTGAACTTGAAACATGTTTCTATCTTTGAGCAGGTTTTCCTGATTCAGAACAAAATGCTGGCAAGTCATGTCTTTTCGTTGACATTTACTTGCATTCTTTCAAAAGTATTGAAACATCACAATATATTCAGATAAACAATCACAAATCACAATTAATGGTTACGAGTCCGATGATATATGTGTTAAATACCTTTCCCGTAGAGCCGTGTGATGTGTTATGTAAAATGCCCGGTTGTGAGTATTAATGTTGGGTTGTGTGTAGAGTCTAGGGCTAGGCTGCTTTATCCCGCTCCCTCCTCCCAGCAGTCCTAGCATTATAGAAACCGGACTCAACCGCCATTATTAAACATATAAATACATCTCATTTATCATTCAGTTTCGTTAAATCTGCGGGAAAAAATGAGTTTTGAGATTGGATATTTAAATCTTAAAATAATACGACTTCTTTCCCTTTTCAACTTTTCAAAAAAATGTCTTAAAATGTCAGAAAGCAAAAAAGTGTGTTGTAAGAGGTTGTGGGATTTTCTTATAAGATGGTTCGCTTGCTAGAAGCGAGAAGAAGAAAGCTGAGAAAGCTAGATTTCTTGCCGCGTAAAAAATTCCCATCTTTCAGTAAGACTTTTTAAAATTAGGACATTCATAGCCTTTAAGAAATATCGTTTTATTTTCATTCAGATATTAGAACTTATTTAATCTTTAAATATTTTGAGAGACTTTTGTGAAATATTCGAATTGCACCTGAATATTCCTTTTTTTTATTTTGCGTACAAGAGTTTAATGCTAAAATATTCCGCTAGATGGGGCTGAAGTTATGAACAAAAATTATTGCAAAAATTAACGAGTCTGTATTAAATGGCGGGCCGATTGGCATGTTTTTAACTGAATCATTTTAAGTTTCGTGTGATGAAATGTCACTTGGATCCCCGAAAGTGATGCAATCGGTCTTCAATGTTATTGTATAGTAGAAACCTAAGTTGTTCTGATTTTCAGATAATATGATGGAAAACAATAATAATTCAGGCCTTTTTGGTGGTTTGGGAGGACAAACAAATTTACAGGTGTCAATCAACGGCGGTAAACGTTACCCGAGTCCTACCTCCAACCCTACCACTCGAAAAAGATCGTTGGACCAATTTTATAAATAAATTTTCTACAGGGAATTCAAGTATTTTAAACCAATTTGTCATTATACTTACTTGTTTTTACTGAATTAGTAAAGGTAAGGTAAATTGAAAAACTAAAGAACCCATTTTTTTAATTTCCTAGAGAACGGTTTTTGGGCCCCTCCTCCCATCAATTTTGTAGTTGGATCTCATATGCAATACATGATTATGATTGATCATTGGCCGCAGCGCCCGGCCCCCTAGCCATGTCCATGCCGCAGCGCTCGGACCAGAAATTTTCTTATCCTAACCCTATTTTACTAAGAAATAATTAATAATAGTTTTGCTGGAAAACAAGCGGTCATGTTCAAATTTATAGGAGGGGGGAGGTCCAAAAATCGGTCTCTATAGGACAGACCTAGAAGTGGAATATGCTGTTCACTTAAATGTCGTTAATTCTGTTTAAATGAATGGATTCTCTGCCTACTCTTGTTTATTACTTTTCGTTAAGGGACTGTCCCCGTATTTAAACATCGACACATCCTACCTCCAATCCAGTCCAGAGTATTTGTTCGATCAAGAAACTAAACGTGGAAAGGAAAGTTCAGTACATTAATTAAATTATAAATGATCATGATATTTTTAAGACAAACCCACTTGTGGAAAGAAACAATTAAAAATTTAAGTCTATAATTAAGGAATTGTTATTAACAGTTAATTTTAACATTGCTCCTTACAGAAATCGCATTACCAAGTTTGACGTAAGTCTCATACTGAACGTAGATGGAGAAATCCTTCTCTGCCATTGGAACAGCAGTCTGTGTTGGATCAGGAGTAGGAGGAGTTTATGGAATTTATGACGGAGTCAGACAAACAGCTCTCTCACAGCTTTCAGGTATACTTTGCACAGGATTCATTCTTAGATCTTGATTGGTATATTAAGCATTTATCTTGAGGTCTAGTGACCGGTTAGACATGGTAGTTGAGCTTAGAATGCAGTATTACTGGGAAACGTTTTGAGGATTCATAAACTATTTAAACGATGACAAAAAATGTAATAAAATTTCTATAGTAAACTAATAACTTGTTCAGGATTAGGTTGAAAAAATAAATTAAGTTTTATCATCGAAAATAGGTTATCTTATAAGAACCAATTCTCAAAATCGAGCCCTCAGAATGGACAATCCAAGTGGATTTTAAAGATTTGAATTGGCGCTCTTGCTAAAAAAAATATTAATAGTTATCAAATAAATTTTAGAAATTTCTCTACAATACTGCAACCTCAGTTTAACGACCACGTCTAGCCGGTCACTTTCTTTAAATATGAAACACAGTGATAAATAAATGAAAAATGCAGATATTTACAAATTTTTCATTTAAACATCCAGTCATATAATGCTCAGACCTGAAAGAAATCAAGTTGTAAATAATTCTATGAACCTATTTTATATTTTACATATTAAGATTCAAACACATGTGAAGTATCCAATTTATTGTGAAATGAATTATGAATATGCAATATTTTCAGGAAAACTACGTAGAACTCAGATCATGAATTACACTCTGAAAGGCGGGGCTATTGCTGGGAACGCCCTTGGCACTGTTGCGGTTTTATACTCACTTACTCATTGTCTTATTTCACTTACAGGTATTAAATATATTTCCCAATCTATAATTATAATAATATTTTTACATCCGTAATGGGTATAAACGATGCACTAGATATTTCTTGAAATAAAATATTCCACACATCATTTGTTTCCGTTTAAAAGGAACTTTTTATACGGTTTTTTCGCTGAATTGTTTGTGTGTAAGGGGGGGGGTCATAATTTGCTCTATATAGCGTTTAAAATATGCCACCTTTAAAAATAAGAAAACTATTTACAATTACTTTTTAAAAGTCACATTGAATTCGGAATAACATGTTGGGGTGCTTCAAAGAATTAACAAATCAAGAAAATTGATAATATTAAAAAAAAACCTAAAAGAGCAATTTCAAATTCAAGCTTCAAAGCGCATAAAATTCCGTTTTTTTGGCAAACTGAAATTCTTCAATTGAAAGGTTCCATTTTTATGTACAAATACTTCAATGAACAACTTCCTGAATCGTTTAATGATAAGTTTTGTGCTTTGTCTCATCCAAACCAAACAAAATGCTAAGATAAGAAAGACCAATAGGAAAAGTACTAGAACTATTTCCTAAAGTTTTCCTACCACAAATATAGAATTCATTGTCACTAGAAATAAAAAACTCTTGTTCTTTAAACTCGTTAGAAATTAATTGCATGTGCCATCCTAAGTTCTGAGCTAGATATTGATCTTGATTGAGCTACATAACCCCCCCCCTCTCTCTCTCTCTCTTCCTTATACTTTCCCCCTACCTATTGGACGAAAACCAATTGTATGATTTAAAAATGATGTCATACAATAACATCCGGGTTTGCTATTAAAGACGGCCTATGTTGGCTTGGCAAATCCCGTCATTCAAGTGTTTTATATCCATGTAAAAATATGTACTTAAATGGTAAATATCTATCTATCTATTTTATTTTTAGCGTACGAGGAGGATGACGAGTTAAAATCTCTAATCTCTGGGACAGTGACCGGCGCGGTTTTTAAATCCACGGCGGGCCTCAAGAAATGTGCTCGTGGGGGGGCCATAGGACTTGGACTTGCAACAATATGGGCCTATGGTCTCAAGCGTCAAGAGACAGTACAGAACTATATGTAGAACCTATATTAAAATTTTTCCATCATCATGATCTTGTAAAATGTGATTCATTGCTCGCTTGGTTAACGTCAACTGCTGACATTTATGATGTTAGTGGTTTGTACGTCTTCACACTTTTCTCAAATCCTCCAAACTCAACCAATTTCAAATCAAAAATGACGTTTTTTTGTTTGTCACAATTTGAAAAGAGGGTTGTAACGGTTTTGGCCGATAGAAATTTTAATTAGCTAGTCTGTTGCGTCAACTGCGCCTAGGTTGCGTATACATAATGTATATTACATCCTTGGTGTTGAATATTCATCCAGGTTATTTCAGATTTAAAATGTCAAATCGTAGTTGTAGAGTGTATATAGGTAAAACTAAAGCATAAAGTATTGATGTCTGTAATGCCCTTCCATATTGTTAAAATTGATTTTTTTTAACGAGAAACAATGCTTGGTATGTTGTGAAATAAAATTAGCCTTAATAGTACTTTTTACAAATAATTTTCCACATGAAGAAGTACTTGCTCGGTTCTGTACCGCACCCTTTAATACGATGAAGTATTTATTGTGGGTTTTTTATTTACAAAGATTGACATTTTAAAAAGGGAGAACGTGGATGTAGAGAACCATTGTGAATCGTAAATCATTAAGTGAAGTAAGGTTAATTTAAGTTTACTCAAAAGTCGCTATATATATTACTGAAATGTCATAAATATTGAACATTTATTAAATAGATTTTTCATTCCAAAACAATTATTGACGTATATTACTTCTGTGATAGTTAATCTCTGAATTTAATTTAGGAAACCTGCCTAAGGATTGTCGGGAACGTGACCTGGAGAAAGAATTTAAACATTTCGGTCGGGTTCGTGATGTTCTTGTCAAGACAGGATACGGGTTCGTAGAATTCGACGAACACAGGTCAGTTTTAGGATTTTACTCAAGTCTCGAATTCATTCACAGCTTTTATTATTTTTCTATGAACCATTCTATTTTACAAGGCTTCTCGACCAATCATTCGTTCTTCTTATAAATATTTACAAGGTCTTGATCTCAACATCAATATAGTTTTACTTCTTTCTTCTACAATGATCTTTTAACCAATTAACTGATTCTTAATTTTGATTTGGATTCTGGTTCTAAAGAATTGGGCCGAGAAAATGGATCCCTGTCCAAAGATCATAATTACATTTTAGAGATTTTTTTTACACAAATTATTTCCAATATTTGATTATTTCGAGGGAGAAATCGTATTTTTTTTGTGCCAAATTTATCAAAATCTGCCATTTTAATGGCTCCATGTATGGGTGAAAATCAAAACTCGTTAACTATTAAAATCGTCCGGTCCGGATTACATTTCTCAACTTAATTATTTAAAGTTTTTTTTCTGTTTGGGTCACTTCGGACCAACTTTCAATATAACTAGTTTATTTTGAATATTTAAAAAGAATTGTTTAGGGATGCTGATGACGCTGTTTATGATATGCATGGCAGAGAATTCCTTGGAGAAAGGTAAAGATAAAAACTCTGTGGATAAAATAATTTTAATTTTAATATACCCTATATTTAAAAAAAAGTAACAAAAAGACGGGCATGTCTGATTCACAACATTAGCTCTAAAAACGTGAATTTGATCATTGATGTGGGAGAGATCTTCGTTTTTTCTAATAGTTCACAGCAAATTACGTTCTCTGTTCAGAGGCCGAATTGAGGTCGCTGATCCGCCAAAAACCGGTTCCTATTGAGCTCCGGCTCAAATCTCTAAACACTGAATACAATTTGGAATACAAAGTGGAACCAAACTTGTTTGAACCGCGTCTCATATTTTATCCGTTCGGCCTCAGATAAATCTCACTTTTAAAGTGACGTATTATTTTCGTATCCGTTTTAAGCGTAAGCATAATTTCAAGTGAAAATATTTTTTCTATATTTTTATACTTTTATGTCCGATTTACACTGCACATGTAAATTATGGTGACATACTAATGGGGTTAAAAACAATTAGGGTGCATAGGTTAAATGGGTGATGTGGCCCATTGCATCAGGTGGAAGTCGTATTTGGTGAGGGTCAATGACCTCCGATCACAAATTTTCTTTGTGATCCGGGTATATAGCCACAATGGGAGGCTGAATGCGAAATAGCAGCCTTTTATCTCAATTTTTAGAACCAAACGCTGCCCGTACCAAATTTGATGTCTCTAAGTGTCGAATTGCCCCCCCCCCCCCCCATCCTAAACAAAATCCAGATTATTTCCTGAAACTACTTCCACCAAAGTTTATCAAGTTAGAACAAAAAATGTTTTTGCAGTTCAATACTAAGGGTTTACATCACCCAAGGAACCTATGTACCTTTCATTTTATTACTTTAACTTCTTTATGTGTCACCCTTCATGTTTTTTTTTAATCCCGAATATCAATTTTATGCCGAACGTGAAAATTAAAAATTTGAATGAACCTTTTTACGCCGGTGACTCCCGGAAAGTTATTAAAAATATGTTTAACATAAACAGCTTTCACACAAAATACAAACGTTTCTACGGATCGCTGAAGTTATCTTTGATCAGTGGAAGATCTAAAAATAGAATAACGTCTGCCCTTCTTATTATGATAAATTGTTGTGGAGTGATTTTTTTTTAATCTTTACGTTTTTTACAATGTGTCAGCTCTTCTACAAGCAGGGGTTGATATTTTAAGAATTTAATAACTAGGGAAATTTTTTTTAAATCGACGAGTAAAGGCAAGTTTTTAATCCATTTTCATACTTTAACCCCACATTTTTAAAAAATTTTCTTAAATTTCATTTATTTTTTCCTAATTCGATGAATAAAACCCGAACTAAAACACGTACTTAACTTTTACAATAAAAAAATGTTTTGTAAAGGAAAATATACACCCCTGGCTACAAGCTTTTGCACTTCTGTTCTTGTTTAATTTGATTAAAGATTCTGATCAGTGTTCAAGTGAATTCAATCATCTACTTACGCGAAATCAATAATTTTATTTTTATCAGTTTACCAGAAAATTAATAGTATATTATATTAATAATATTTGTTTTAAACGCTCACGACCAACTACGTTTTATTTTGAAATGAACCTAATGCAGGGGTTCATCTAGGATTAATTAATCAGAGATTACTTATCCATTAAACCCAAAAACGTCACTTAGCAACATTTGGGTGTATAAAAACTACCTCAAATGGTCAAAAAAAATGCAACAAAAAGTATTACATAAAAGTCACTGATTCAGGATTTAACATTAGCCCATCCTTAAACTTGATCGGTATAGATGCCTGGCTTTCAAAAAAAAAAAACATTTTTAGAATTACCGTTGAGTTGGCCCGAGGAACCAGGAGGGAAAGAAGCAAGGACAGGAAGAGGGGCAGGTACCAATATTATTATTCTTGTAAATATCAAATATTCAAATATTTGTATTCCTGTAAACATCAAATACTATCTTGAGAGAAAAATGCTTGGAAATTAACTTTCTATGGAAGGGGGATGACCAACTGTTTTTCTGCGCAAGTTTTATATAAAAAATCTTTTCTACTTTTTTTCTTAAAAATATTTACTTGTATTAAAATAAAAGATACAGGATATAAAGGGAAAATATTATATATGATAAAAAGGGAAACCATAGGTTTTTTTTTCTCTCTTTCAGTCCGAAATTTTTCTCAACTAAAATCTGAATTTAGAAAATATATCAATATCTTGTGTAGAGATACTCTCAAGTTCATAAAGCGCGTATGAAGATGTACACTGATGTACATATTAAAATGTTGTTTTTGTAGCCGAGCACCCTGGATGGATAAGTATGGTCCCCCTCAGCGTACCAAGTACAGAGTTGTTGTCGAGAACTTGAGTACCCGGGTATCCTGGCAGGTAACAGCGCCAATAAGAACAAACCATATTTAAATAGCGGGAGAATTTTTTTGCGTCAAATTTTCTATAAAAATGTCCTTCTAAACGGTTGTTGAGAAAAAATATATTTTTTTTTCAAATCTCCATTATGGTTAAGGCTATAAGCATGCATGCATCTGTATGATTTCAATTCACAATTCTCTGAATTCTAACATTTCCCCCCCAAGCTTAGGAAATGTATTTATAATGGGAGTGTTCGTGAAAAATGAAAGGGTAGTAGTATGAATCCGGTGCACATTTTTTTATCCGTTTTTTCTATACGAGAATTTGTAATAAACTGTTGAAAAAACTTCTTCCCTCCATATTAACAAATTTGTCGATTTAAAACAGAAGACTATTTTGTCAAATAAAAGTTTTTCGTTGCGCGCGCACGTTGCCCCCCCCCAAAAAAAAAAAAAAAATCTTTATCTAAATAAATTCATCGAAATCGGCGAAATTTTTGCAATGGAAGGAAGGAAGTTGTCTTTTTTATCAAGATAGACAGAGCATTAACTTCTTATGCTCAATGATGTAAAATGAGTTAGGTAATGATGAAAAACTGAGATTTTAACTGAGTCTGTGGTTTATTACAACTTCTCAAATTAGGTCCATAATTAGAAATAAGAATGGTTCCAATCGATAGAAACCCCACACAAACCCTATTTCATTTTTAACCAATACCCTCTTAAACTAGGTGTAAAGAATGACATAATTTTAGTCATGTTAAACACGACTTATCTTTCTATATCACGGAACCGCCACTAAAATGTATGCCCGTAGTCGAGACATTTTTCTCAATTATTATATTCTTTGTTTACTTGAGTTGATTTTATTATTACTAAGTCCACTCCGGATGAAACCTTTCGGGTGCCCATTGGATGCTTTCGACACCCCTGAGATGCCCTCTGAGGCCCTAGATGCCTCTTGCCGTGTTCTGATGTCGCCCCTTGACGACCTGAGCAACAACGTATCTGGTGTAACCCCTGGATGTTTGTATCCCCCTAAAGCTGGATTGCCCCCAGGAGGTGGTCCAGGGACCGGAGGAAGGATAAAGACGACCTCTAGCCTCTGCTCAAAGGAGTATGTAACTCTCTTTGTATTGACAAAATGTTAAATTAAGATGTATCCGGAAAAGTCCGTCTTTTAATCTAAATCATTATATTGACGCAAGATTTGAAATTATTTTACAATATTAACATTTTGTCAACATGATGGTTTTTAACAAATGCATTTGTTCACAACAATTCTTTCATCCCGTTTTTATCCAAAAGAAGAAGAAAAATCAAAACCAATTGAAAATTGTTAAGTGTGAACATGCTTTCTTATTAAACTAAAGGCTTAATGTTGATGTTGTAACGGGTTGCACTTGAACTCAAGTTTTTTTTCTCCCATGTTCTGAAACTCTTTCTTTCTGACCTACTTCAAAATGTTTCTGAACTCGGTCCTATACTTGAATATATTTCCAAGCATTTCCTGCATAGTCCTAACGACCTTTACTAAACCAAATCTGCCTCTTTCCTAATCCTTCTCAAAAACTTGTCTTCTTCCTTTTCCTTCGCCAATAACGGGCTCTGCCATTAAATTTTATTAATTCTTCATTTTTCATGATCTTAGCAAACTATTATTCTATATCCTGCACAAATCCTAGCACATTTCTCTATCCTAAACTTATCCTAGCCTATTTTTCTATCCTTCATCAATCCTAGCATATTTCTCTATCCTACATCAATTCTAGCATATTTCTCTATCCTTCATCAATCCTAGCATATTTCTTTATCCTTCACCAATCCTAGCATATTTCTCTATCCTTCACCAATCCTAGCACATTTCTCTATCCTTAATCAATCCATGCCTATTTCTCTATCCTTCACCAATCCTAGCACATTTCTCTATCCTTCATCAATCCTAGCATATTTTTCTCTCCTTCATCAATCCTAGCATATTTCTCTATCCTTCATCAATCCTAGCATATTTTTCTATTCTTCATCAATCCTTGCATATTTCTCTATCCTTCATCAATCCTAGCATATTTCTCTATCCTTCACCAATCCATGCATATTTCTCTATCCTTCACCAATCCTAGCATATTTGATTTCTCTATCCTTCATCAATCCTAGCATATTTCTCTATCCTTAATCAATCCTAGCATATTTCTCTATCCTTCATCAATCCTAGCATATTTCTCTATCCTTCACCAATCCATGCATATTTCTCTATCCTTCACCAATCCTAGCATATTTCTCTATCCTAAATCCATGCATATTTCTCGATCCTTCGCCAATCCTAGCATATTTCTCTATCCTTCGCCAATCCTAGCATATTTCTCTATCCTATATCAATCCTTGCATATTTCTCTATCCTTTATCAATCCTTTATATTTCTATATCTTTCACTAATCCTAGAATATTAGTCTATCCTTCATCAATACGAGCATATTTCTCTTTTTCTACACCAATCTTACTCTTATTCCTAATCCTAGACAATCCTTAAATTTTTCTGTTTCCTTATCCTTCACCAATATTTCTCTTTCCTGATCCTAGACAATCCTTAAATTTTTTCTTATCCTACACCTATCTTACTCTTTTTCTAATCCAAGATAATCCTTAAATTTTTCTTTTTTCCTTATCCTACACCAATCTTACTCTTTTTCCTAATCCAAGACAATCCTTATTTTTTTCTTTTTCCTTATCCTTCACCAATATTTCTCTTTTCCCTAATTTTGTCCAATTCTTTTAACTGTTAATTTCTTGCATGGCAGTTATTTATTACCAGAGACCTTTGAAATACTTCACTCCTAATTTAATTTTTTCCTAATTATTTCTACTACATAACTTCCTTACCTGAATGTTCAGCCACTAGAGCGAGGTTCTAAAACTGACTTGTGTATTTTGTGTTTAACATTTTGTTTCCGGTTTAGGATCTGAAGGATCTGATGAGAAGGGCAGGGGAGGTGTGCTATGCTGATGCTCATAAGGATCGGAGAAACGAGGGGTAAGTTCATTTTATATTATCTTTTCAGTGTTGTAGAAATATATATAAGGTTTTATAACATGCAGCATATAGTATAACATTTGTAGTATAACAAATCAAGCCATGAATGGTTGTCTTAATGATTACATTAATCCTATTCTTTCCTCAGGGTGATAGAGTTTGCAACCAGGCGCGATATGGAGAGAGCATTGGACAAGTACGATGGTTATGAGATGAACGGTCGCAAAATCAAGCTTATCGACGAGTCAGGAGGTGGTGGATCCCGATCAAGATCTAGATCCCGTAGATCTCGGTCCCGCAGATCCCGATCAAGACGATCTCGCTCCAGGTCAGGATCCAAGTCAAGGTCTCGCTCCCGTTCTCGGTCTAAGCGGAGCCGATCCAAGAACAAGTCTAGATCTAAGTCCAACTCCAGATCTAAGTCCAAGTCTAGATCCGCCATGAAAGAAGAATCTAGATCAAGGTAAAGTGTTGAGTACAGTTTTCCTCCTAACAAGCCATTCAGTTTGAACCACCAAATGACATTTATTAAATGTACCTACAGTGCATATGTCATGCAATACAAAAATGTGATAAATATTGGTCCAAACCTCATATCGTGGAACTTCTACCCTAAACGTGAACTAAACTTACATTAAAACCCAATTAGTTTTAGTCCATTAAGGGATTTACAGTTACCTTAGAATCAAATGTGATATTTCGAAAGAACTGTTACGATTTGCTTTTCCTAAATATATAATTTGTTTAGGTCTAAGAGTCCAATGGAGAACGGCAGTGACAAAGATTAAGAATTTACAGTTCCCAACTCTGGAATCTGGATACAAATATCAAAACCTCTTTTTAATCGTTACAACCACGGCTCATCACAACTGTATTTACCTATATTTTTTTTCTCATTAGAATAAAAAACACTAAAAATTGGCATTATTTGTTTGCGTTGTTTGTTTTTGGGGTGTTTAAAAGAAACGGCAACTTTTAAAAGGGGGGAGCTATCTTAAAGGATGGAGCGTGGCAATAAAAAATCGAGCATGCTCCCACCAAGCTGGGGTTATGTCGTTAACGCCCAGAAAAAGATTTTTTTCTTCAAGATACCAAAAATCGGAAATGTTTTACCGTTCTTGTTTGACGACATAGTCTGAAATATTATGACTTATTTGTTCCCCTTATCTTGGAATGTCTTGCGAGTCCAAAACTAAAGAACGAAAAGTAAAATCGCCGAAATTGACAATTTAAATTTTGTTACTCCGAGAAATTCGCGCAGTCTCAATCTTCTAATGCAATTAATTATGATTCTCAGGAAATCGTTGCAGCGCTTCCGTATTCACTTAGTCCATTTTTATCATGAAACATATGAGTCAGCGATTAAAATTGATTTAATATTGAATTCATTTTTTATTAAACTTAATTATAAGCTATTACTACAAACTCTCGCATTCTTTAGTTATAGGCTCTGGTAAGTTAATTTTGTATGAAGAGAAAAGGCTTGGAGATTAAAGCAAGTGGTGTGCTCTTTGACTTTTTCTTGTATTTACAGGAGGGTTGCCCAAGAAGGATAAATGACTAAATAAATGACTTGATTAGAACAATCTAGATCTAAAGTTTGTTCATCATCCGTAAATACTAAAACAGTTTAACTGAATGATTAGACAAAGAGAGAGTGAGCTGCTAGAAGCCATTAATGTAGGGGGAAAACTTCTATTTTGGATAATTTTGTCTGTAAAGACCCATTATCAGCGGGTTTAATTGGTGAGATTATGTTTACATATCACGGGTGTGATAATTTAAAACATCTCTTTTCCGACTTCATTGGCCGTTCAGGAATTCAGCCAGTTATCGACCTTGTCTTTGAAAATGTTCAGGTTTCCGACCTTGTCTTTGAAAATGTTCAGGTTTCCAGCACTTTTGATTTCATATGGGATATCATTCCATATATTGATAACTCTTGCACTAAAAAAGTTTCTTCGTATTTCGGTGTGCACAACAGGTATTTTCAGATTCAAAGGATCACTGGACATTCTGGTTTGTCTTTCATTTTCACCAGGTACATAGGCATTTGTTTTTATCCACATGATCATGTTCATGAAGGATTTTCCAGACTTGAATCATATCTCCCCTCTTCCTTCTTTCCTAACCCTGTATTTCTATATGACAAATTCTGATGTCAAAACAGTTGAACTAGTCATATCTTTTTATTCAAAGGGGCTTAAGGTAATGCTTGACCATTATCATTAGTTGTTGCTTAATGAAACATATACCCAACAGTTGTAATAGGCTTTTACCAGATTTGGTCGGATAGGTGGGATGTAATTAAATGCCAGGAGTAATATACAGGGTGTCCCACATGATATTAGATCGTTAAAATAGCTCTAAATTCAGGTTAGATCGTTAAAATAGCTCTAAATTCAGATTTACAGGCTAATTAGAAAATTATAAAAGAATAAACCATATAAAATATTGTTTATGGCTAATATTAAATCTTCCAGAAAATACCAGGTTTTTCGAGTATTTGGCGTTTTAGCTTTATGATCTAATACAGGGTGTCCCACGAAGCATGACAGTTGGTGAATCTAATCTGAACCCAACTAATCTCTAACTTAATGTTAACAGAGTATATCTCTAATCTGAACCCTACTCATCTCTAACTTTAACCGTGTATATCTATAATCTGAACCCTATTGATCTCTAATGTTAACCGTGTATATATCTAATCTGAACCCTACTCATCTCTAACTTTAACCGTGTATATCTATAATCTGAATCCTACTCATCTCTAACTTAAATCGTGTATATCTATAATCTGAACCCTACTAATCTCCTACTTAAACCATACTCATCTCTAATCTGAACCCTACTCATCTCTAACTTTAACCGTGTATATCTATAATCTGAACCCTATTGATCTCTAATGTTAACCGTGTATGTCTATAATCTGAACCCTACTAATCTCAAACTTAGACCGTACTCATCTCTAATCTGAACCCTACTGATCTCTAATGTTAACCGTGTATATATCTAATCTGAACCCTACTCATCTCTAACTTTAACCGTGTATATCTTTAATCTGAACCCTACTATAACTAATCTCCTACTTAAACCATACTCATCTCTAATCTGAACCCTACTGATCTTTAATGTTAACCGTGTATATATCTAATCTGAACCCTACTTATCTCTAACTTAAACGGTGTATATCTATAATCTGAACCCTACTAATCTCCTACTTAAACCATACTCATCTCTAATCTGAACCCTACTGATCTGTAACTTTATCCGTATTCATCTCTAATCTGAACCCTACTGATCTTTAACTTTAGCCGTATTTATTATAATCTGAACCCTACTGATCTCTAACTTTAACCGTATTCATTTATAAGCTGAACCCTACGAACCCTACTGATCTTTAACTTTAGCTGTATTTATCTATAGTGTGACCCCTACTGATCTCTTACTTTCATCGTACTCGTCTATAATCTGAACCCTACTCATCTTTAACTTTAACCGCATTCATCTCTAATCTGAACTCTAACTTTAACCGTATTCATCTCTAATCTGAACCCTACTCATCTCCAACTTTAACCGTATTTATCTATAATCTGAACCCTAATCATCTCTAAATTTAACCGAACTCATCTCTAATCTGAACCCTACTGATCTCTAACTTTACCCGTACTCATCTCTAATCTGAACCCTACTCATCTTTAACTTTACCCGTATTTATCTATAATCTGAACCCTACTGATCTCTAACTTTAACCGTATTCATCTATAGTCTGAACCCGATTTCATCTCAAAAAGTATCTGCGCCCAATTCATTTTATCACTAAATAAATCTTCCTTTTTACCAAGAAGAAATCAGATTTAATTCAATTTGTATAATTTTATTGAAAATACAATGACTAAAATATTTTGACAACACAGTAATCTGATGTTTTCTAAAAAATTACAAACATATAGCACATCTTCCTCTACTATTCTAGGTATGTTACAACATTATTGTTAAATTACCGAGTTTAGAATTTCAATTATTACACTAGGCCTCAAATCCGCACAGACGCAGACTTTCGCATGAAAGACTTATCAGGGAAAGCTGAGCTAAGCCTTGAATATTGGAAATCCACAATGTTGAATAAATGAATAAAACCTGTTTGTACAGTGGGGCTTGATAAGCTCTCTCACAGAGTATACTTTACAATAGAATATGGTAATAAATTATTTTTGGCACAAATAAGAACCATTATTAAACCATGTTGCTATATCAAAATAATTTGATAAATTGAAATCTTTTTCCTTTTTAAATTTGGCAACATGTGGAAAACAACGGAACTTTACAAAAATGACTAAATACACTTATAAAAATAGCAAAAAAATTGGCAAGAAAATATTTGGCACATTTATATTGAGATCTTAGAAATTTTTGAGACCAATGGTATGAGATTCTAAAAATGTAAGTACAAGATATGTTTAAATAAAATCACTAGAAAATTTCTAAAAAATGGGAAGAAAGGCGGGCAGGCGGGGTTTATAGAAAAATACAAACATTTTTGGACAGAATAATTAAAGCCCAGTAATTGTCCGGTTACATCACATTTAATTCCATCAAATGCCATTAAACATTAATCAAGTCCATCCTGTGGCTATTTTTTGGCTACAAAATAATGCCATGGCGAGACTCCTCTAATTCTAAGTTTACATTAATTCACAGCGTAACATGAGTATTTCTCGACATAAACATTCATTCACAAAATAGATATTTTTCACATTTATAAACATTGATTTTTGGCTACACGCTAAAGCTCGTTTAAGTTTAATTTACACTTATCTCTAAATATTAGGTACACGTATTTGAATGCTTTGGTCTTGAATTCAGGCAAACCGAATGGTTTGAGGCCTAAATCAGAGTCGTCCACCGTAAAGGACAATCCAATAGAACTTAAGTTCAATTATTTCCTAATTCAAAATGTTAAATAATCTGTAGTGCACAACTTTGTAAATTTGTTTCCAAGTTTGGATTAGAATGTCGAGTAAAATATTTCCAGATTTTATACATTAAAATGAAGCATAATTTATGGAAAAGATACAACTTAAATTACGAATTTAAATGCAAAATATCGACTGACCTAAATAAACTTAGACATAACTAGATTTTTTTTTGCTAATTCGAAGTTGGAATTAAATAAATGAATTAGGAATGCTGAACTTAAATTCCGGATCAATGCTTCAAAAAGTCAGGACTCTGAACCAGTTTTGGAATGTGAATTTGCTGAGCAAACCTCCTTTTTATCTTTGGACTAAAATTGATAAACATTGAATGACTTATTTTCCATCGAAGACATCGGTACGAAACTGACTAAATATAATTAATTGCAACATGTTGATACTTTCTTTACTTAAGATTGCAAATATTCCCTTCTCATATAGAAAACGCATAATCCTGCTTTCAATTATTTTGAGCGAACAGTCTCGATTAATACTGGAGGGGGGGGGGGGGGTATTTATGCTTTGGTTCTTACAAGGAACTTGAAAACCTCATTATCCCTAGATCTTTGGAAGCATCTTATCGAGGTTGGCGAGGCGAGTGTTTATGCGGATATATTATGCTGGTTCTCTTGTTCTAAGAACGGTTGTTGGTCTGTCATCAGTTCTATTCTGTGGGTTTTAATATGCTGCTTCATGTTGTAACGCTGGATAAACCGCCTGGAAATATAAAAATTAAGCATTTTTAAAAGTTGATAAATTACCGTAAGTTGAGAACTAAATGATGAAATTTGCTTTTATTTGACAATGAGAAAATGTTTGGAATTATAAAAGTACGTTATCATGTTTCCCTTCTCCGCAATTTATAAATAATCATTTATGTAGTTTCCAAAACATTTAATTCTTTCCTGTTCAATAATTAAGTGCATTAAATACATATTCTACCTAGGACAATATGGACATTTGTGAGGTTTATCTCCGGAATGAATCTTCCTGTGTCTGTACAGACTACTAGGATCTGCTAACTTCTTCCCACAAACCTCACAAGCAACACTTGGTTTTCCATTCGTTCCAATTTCACCAGTTCTAAACAAATTAGATTTTAAAAACACTTTAAAAATATTATCATCTAAGAAAAAAGTGCATGCACTGTAGAATTAGATCCCAGAAGAAAATCTATGTTTATGATATCACATTTTCTTGCAAGTTCTATGCCACATGGATTTCAGGATGCTTTGCAACCATCTTTCAACTTTTAAAACAAAAACAAAAAATGTTTGATCATATTTCTTCGTAGATTTTAAAAATTTACGGAAATTAAAAAATCTTTAAGACAAAAATTCGTTCAATTCTGAGCATCCATAAACCACCCTGGGCCCGTTCGGTTCGCCTGTTTTGACTGTATACATATGTAGAATGAATCAGATTAATGAAAAAAATAAAAAGCTAAATTTAACGAGAATAAAATAAAAACTGCCCGGCGGCCCTATTAATTGTTTAAGGGTGAACCTGGTTTGCGAATTGGAGTGGACCAAAGTCTTCCAATATTTTCGCAACTCAAGTTCACCCGATCTGAAAGTACAATATTCACAGACTGATAACAAATATATATAGACCAAGAGAGATAGATAATTATAGAGATATAGAAAATAAAGGAAAATTAAAGAAAAAAAATTAATTATCTCTTACGATGATCCACGGGGCACTAGGTCATAGTTTAAAAAAGTTATTTTAAAGATGTAAACAAAAAGATTAAACACACAAAAAGATCATCATTTTCGTAAACATCACATCTCTAAATGAAACAAAACGACAAAGAAAATATAAAATTAGTTACAAGAATCTTCAATGAATAAAAATATTTTACAGGAGAGCATAAATTCTAACCTTATTCCTCCAAGTGGGTTTTTATCCAGTTTATCCGTTGAACCAGTGGACCCCCTTCTAGACTCCTTAGGTAGGTTTGCAAGGGAGCTCAAGGTACTCAAGGATCCCATGCTGGCCAGAGAGCTCATTGAGCCCAGAGAATTGAGTGAGCCACCTCCCATACCGTTGAGCCAGGCGTAGGATTGTGTTGGAAGGTTTGAAAGGAAATGAGAGCGAATGCGTCCAGCAATATCTATACCAAGAGTATCACTTAATGAACCCAAAGGTTGTGGAATATCCTAAAATATCAAGTAATTAATTGACTGTTAAACATGCATGTTGCTAGAATTTAACACCAGATAAAATTTTTCCTCACCTTAATATCTTTCTCATAATCTTCTCCACTTGAGTTTCTCTCCTCCCTTGAGTCTCCTCTGGAGTCCCTTGAGGCAGGTCTTTGACCTCGCATGCTGGTCAACTGTTCCAGACTGTTCAACCATGGACTGCCTCCATATCCAGAACGGCGGAGATCTTCCGCCAGCTCCGCCCTTCTTAGATCATAGCCGAGGTCCTCAGGAGGTGTTGTACTAGATCTGCCTGTCTTCAGGTAGGATCCGAGGATGGAGTACCGGGGCGCGAGGTCAATCTTCCCTCCCGTGCTAAAATCTACAGGTTGGTCGGTGTCTATCTCCTCGGTGTCAGAAACTGGTAGATTGTCGATAGGGGATCGGTTCTCACTGGACCCTGAGATCTGATCTAGGGATGTGATCCTTAGATCATTTTCTATATGGGGCCAGGGTCGGGGGCTGGACATCTCGCTTTCCCGGTCTCCGCTCAATCTCAATTTTTTTGGCACAGAGGATTTCCGTCCTTCTCCTTTCCTACTCCCACTCTTACCACTAGTGGCGCTGTGGCTGGACAAGGTTTCAACACTCTGGAATTTATCTCCAGACACATCGGAGGCTTGAAACTGCTCGTCTACTATTAAAGGTCTCGGAGTATCATCATCGGAGGTCGGAGGTTCAGCTGTTGTGAGACCTCTGATCTTGAGACTAGAAGCTGTCCTAAGAACCTCCTCAAGGTCGACTTGGCGTACAGAGATGTTTCCTCGGTACATGTACTCTAACAATAGGCGCATATGCTCGTCAGAAACATCCTGGAAAATTTACTTTTATTTTTCATGAAGAAAAAATACTTACTTCACAGAAGAGTAAATAAGAGTCAGAGGATTAAAAGTTTATCAAGATTCTTCTGTGCTAAATGTTCAATATATTTGAAATCAGCACTTTCTAAAAAAATCGATAAATATTGGATAAATGGAAAAAAACTCTAAACTAAAGAAGGTAAGAGAATCCTCACAGTTTTGATTTGAAAAGAGAAATAACACAACATACTTTATTAACAGCTCACGTTTTCATTTAGCGTAAACATTCAGGAATTGTATTTATGAATTGGATTCAAGAATCAGCTTTTTTTAAAACCTTTTGAAGGGCCCGTTGTTATACAATAGGATGCTTGCAAGGATTGGCGAGGAATAACTGCCTGAAGGGCCCGTTGTTACCGGGGTATTTACCTTGAGAAACACAATAGGATGCTTGCAAGGATTGGCGAGGAATAACTGCCTGAAGGGCCCGTTGTTACCGGGGTATTTACCTTGAGAAACACAATAGGATGCTTGCAAGGATTGGCGAGGAATAACTGCCTGAAGTAGGGACTGCAGGCGGACAGAATCAGCTTGTGAGCCTGAAATAGTTTTAATATTTATATTTCCTTTTATTCGGATCATTGTGTAAGCAGTGTCAGTATCAGTAACAGTGTCAATATCAGCGTCAGTGTCAATATCAGCGTCAGTGTCAATCAGCGTCAACGGTCGGGAGTCGGCGTTGACCCTGTCAGCATCAGTGTCTGTATGACTTATGGTAAAAAAAACACAAAAAATTGCGCCTTAAATTTAATTTAAATTAAAGCATAAATACCTTAAACTGTTCTGTTTCTGTTGCAATAGTCACGTCTGTAAATTCTCCGCTCTGAAAACATAAAAATTAAATTATCAATATTGTCAGTAAATAAATTTTTTTGTCAAAAATTTTGTATTTCTGGTGGAAAAATATAAAGACTCTGTAATCTGTATGATTTTTTTATTTCCCTCCACCCCCTTCCTTCTGGGGAGGGAGAGTACAAAAGTTTTGAACTTAAAACCTTTCACAATTGTACGTTTAGTTTATTCGAAGTGATTTGTTTTTCTTTATTTTTCCCTCATATTTGAGATATTTAAACACTTTTCGACTTTTAAGCTAAATACTCTCGAGAAATGATTTTAAATTCTTTTAAAATGTCTTCCACAGTTTAAATAAAGGTTTTCTGTATTCAGAAACAATAAAGAAGTTTAAATATTTACAGGGTTTCATGTACGAAATGCGGGCATTTTCTTTTAATAATTTTCAAAGATAAATTTTATTATCTTAAAATTAACTCTTAAAACATTGAAGAAATTAAAAAGTACTTGTTATGTAGAAGAAATCAATGTTTTGTATCATTTAAAGATGTAGAAGAAAAAAATCAATGTCAAAAACTTAAAAAATTTGATGTCAGTTAACTATTAACTATCCACGAGATGAAAATTTTAATGAAGTTAAAAAGTAGTCGAACTGATAAGGACTAGTACACTTCTTCACTACTCTCCGTAGAGTAGTCGAACTGATAAGGACTAGTACACTACTTCACTACTCTACATAGAGTAGTCGGAACTGATAAGGACTAGTACACTACTTCACTACTCTACATAGAGTAGTCGGAACTGATACACTACTTCACTACTCTACATAGAGTGGGACCCAAAAACTGTGGAATAAGAAGACAACTGTTAAACGCAATTTAGAATACTAGGCTTTCGGGCCCATCTTCCCAAATTCAATTGTGAACATTTTCTCTTTAAATACATTGTAAAACAAAAACAAACAGTTTGCGGATTTTATAACAAAAAAATTTGGTGGATAAAATGGAAATCGAATTTTGTTAGAAGCTATTTTAGGAAATTTGGATCATTCATAAACCTTCCGTGGATTACGTAAGGTCCCACACACAATTTGGGCCCGATCGGTTCAGCATGTAACACAGCCATTTTGCAGTGCACAGAAACCCAATTCACTCAATAACGTAAATGAATCATAATAACTATACCTGACACAGTTGATGAAACACATTGATTAGTTGGGAGTTGTGTTCTGACCAGCGCAGCATATATTCAGATTCATTCTTCATCCTATTCATTAATACATTCAGATTTATCCTCTTCGTTAAATTATTCATTCTTCGTCCTATTCATTAATATATTCATTCTTTATCCTTTTCATTAATATATTCATTCTTCATCCTATTCATTAATATGTTCATTCTTCATCCTATTCGTTAATATATTCATTCATCCTGTTCGTTAATATATTCATTCATCCTTATATTCATTCTTCATCATATTCATTAATATATTCAGATTCATTCTTCGTCCTGTTCGTTAATATATTCATTATCCATTCTTGATCCTGTTCATTTATATATTCAGATTCATTCACCATCCTATTCAATAATATATTCATTATTCATCCTATTCATTAATATATTCATTATTCATTCTATTCATTATTAATATATTAATTCTTCATTCTATTCATTACCATGTTCATTATTTATAATATCCATTAATATATTAATCATTCAATATTCATTATTCATCCTATTTATAAATATATTCATTATTCATCCTTGTCATTAAAATGTTCATTATTCATCTTATTCATTCAAATTTTCATTCTACATTCATTAACCTATTCATTAAATTTTCATAGTTCGTTCTTTATGAAATTCTTTGTTATATTCTCTATTCATCATTCCTCCTATTCATTGATATATTTAGGATCGTACTTCATCTTATTCATTGAAATAGTCCTTGTGTATTCGTTAACATGTCCATAAAAAAATTTCTTTCTTTATCCTTTTCGTTTAATATATTCATATACATTACATACCTTAGTTCGTTGTTCTTCGATAAATTCATTAATATGTTAATTAATTAAATTTATCTTCGACATTTTTAAACTTACTCTTCTTCCTTTATTGAGTGTAGATCTGAGTGTGATGGAGAGTTAGGAGTTAGACCAATCATTGTTCACAAGTATAACTTCAAGTTACTGACTTAGAATGGGTTGCCTTTTATATTGCACTTGTTGGCACTTTTTGCAACTTTTTAACTTAAAAAAGTGGAAAAGTTTGTCTTTTATATAAAAATATTAAATCTCTCCACCGCGCTGCCGTCCTCCTTGTTCACATGACGGAGACTCAAACTGAAATGAAAATAATGAGTTGGTTGATTTTCCCCCAAGCCGCCGCCCGGCTCTCTCCCTCTCTTTCTCTCTCGGTGTAAGCAACATAGGATCCAAATCCCCCAGATCGAAGTCTATAGAGTCCAACGGTTTGAAAACCATTCCTAATTAGTATTTTTTCAATTGTAATTCTATTTCAGCAATCGAGATTTCCTTTAAATTTAAAACTTGAAATGTTTTAAAATGAAAAAAATCTAACCCGGAAACCGCCGGTCTGTATAGAGGACGTGCTTAGACAAGAACTCGGTGGTACTTCAATGCTCTGACACATGCCACGGGAAGGGGGGATGCTTTGGGGGATTTTTAGGATGGGGGAATGGTTGCTTGGCCCGGACCTGAGGGGAATTTTGGGTGCATATAGGGATGAAAGGGGAAGAAGGACGCTATGATTCATTCAAAGTGTACTAAAATACACAACGGTCGCTAGTGCTTTTTCAGCATTATTATACGTGAAAAAAATTATATGAAGTCCATGAGGATCGGAATTCGTCAGAATTAATAATATATTCATCTGTTGTTTAAATGGTGTAATTCTGGGCATTACAAATTAATTCCCGTTCAATGCTTTCTGCATATATATATGAGATTTTCAGTCGGAAATAAAATTGTGCCAATTAAGTAATTTCCTCAAAAAAGCTATTAACTTCAAAGCAACATCGGCTTGGTTTTAAAAACATATGTTAGATCTAAAACCTGCAATATATGTATGTCTATGATGCTGGGGGAGTCCCTCAAAACCATTTCAGCAGATGGTTCTTGAATAGGCTTTAGCAGGTGCATGTATTACACTGACTGCATATATTTCAGATTTCAGCGTGTGCTAAGAGGGAGGGGGAAAGGGGTGTGCTCTGAGGGGAGAATGGGGGGTACCAAGTGAGGGTTGGGAATATTTTTGATGAAAGCTGAATGAGAAGGTTAGAAAAAATAATAGTAACAATATAAGAAAGCAGACAAGGGAATATTATACATAAGATTTGAACAAAATTTGAAAGGAAAGAATTAAAATTCAAGTCGAAATTTAAGCATTTGACATGATAATAAAGTCGAAATAGATTAAAAGCTCTGATAAATAGACAAAAGTTGAGGCTTGGCAAATAGATTATCAAGTAAATATGGTGGCAACTGGCAACAGAGAAATGAACCAATAATACACGACGTCACAAGTGTCAAATTGTGTCAAATATAACGAGGAAAACGAAATTTTTTAGTTCACATGTTTTCCAAGATTTAAAAAAAGTGTAAAAACAGAAAATAAAGAACACATAAAATTTCATTTTTTACTGGAATATATGCGCTTGTGAAGTAAGAATACAGCTGTACTGAGAATTGTACGATTGTACTATATATTAGAGGCTTGAGAGAATTTAGAAAATAAAAGTTGAAGAGAAAATGTTTGTACAATTAAGGAAATGTTTGAAACTGGAACAAAACCTACGATAGTAGGAGGATGGAGATTCCTAAGAAAGGATTGAACAACAACAAGAATAACAAGAATAATCATGTTTAAAATTATAAGCAAGAAATTAATTCCTAATCACAGTCTCAATCGCGGGCAGGTCAGCCCCCCACCACCCTCCAAACCTAGACCCCCCCCCTCTCCAGGACAAAATCTATTATACAGTCCTTGTCTAGGGTTCCGATGCTACTAGAAAGGTCTCCCCCCCCCCCTTCTCCCCTGCCCTAATACCCAGTCAGACCAATGCTAAAATAATCAATAGTAGACGTAGACATACATGGATTTGGGCAGATATTACACTATAAACTAGTATGGCTCAAGGGGGGGGGGCTCATCCTTTAAAAGTTTCCAATCAGGATTTGAAGCCATAAGTAAATCTTTTAAAGTTCATGTCCTTATACATGTAGAATGACAACTATAAATATTGTATTTAATAAAATTTTGTCCTTCATATCTAATTTATTTTTCTATAAAAATAGTAATTTATTTCCAAGCATTTTTTCTGGGAGGATGCAAATGGTTTGATTTGTTTTGATCATATTTTTATTTTTACTTAGATCAGAAAATATCTAAGGACGTCGAAACCATACCGAAGAAACATTAAGACGATGAAAAATAAGGTATTCTCTGCCTAATCACGTGTTTCTCCCAGCAAAGAAAAAACGAAATGATTGAGACATAAAGACAAAAACAGATTATATAAGCTGGGACATAAGAAACAAAAACGACTAATTTGTATAAGTGTTTATAGCAAAACAACCAAAACAATTGGTTCCAAAAAAAGTGATCATTTGGAAATTAAAAACAAAACATAGTAAACTGCAGTGTAAAAAAATGATGATTTAGAAAGGAGAAAAATCAAGGTTTCAGCTCGAGCTTTATAAAACAAGAAAGTTTTGGAAGCTGGAAACTCACAAGAAAACTTTCTTTTAAGAGAAAATACCATTATTAAACGTGACTAGAATAATGATATTCTATTCCTCAATGACATTGATATCTTAGAATTAAAATAAAAAAATACCAAATAATTGTGCTGCAGGGTAAGATCACAATATTTGTGCATTCTTTAATTATTCGTTGAAAAGGCCGTAACTGAAAGTTTTTGCAGGGGGGGGGGAGGGTACGATAAAAAGGGTGAACAGGGGGCCGGAGGGACAAAGCCCTCTACACAATCAAGAAGCACTAAATCATAGATGGGGGGGGGCACGAGATCGTGTGCCCCCCCCCCTTAGACGGCCCTGCATTTAAATGCTAACTGAATGGCGCAAGAATGTGACACGAGTTCATGGATTATAATTTGTGAACATATCTAATCAATATTAATAGTTTGATCAATTTAGTAAAGTTGATAGTGAGGCATAAAATGTTGACAAATATATGCATGAATCATGCACTGACTCAGGCAAAACTTGGTTTTTAAAACTGGTATTGAGGGATTCAAGGGGAATATATAATATAACTTTAAGGTTCGATGTGTCGAATGACTGTTAATATCAACCCCCTATAGTGGAAAGAGGAATATTAATTATATGCGAAAAGAACCATTAAAGGGACTGTCATAGAATCTTTCTTTGAATAGCAATATAGAGATTAAAAAGAAGTCCATTATAAAGGGACACTGCAGTGAGTTAAAATTTAAGTTAAAGAAATCAGATATCGATCTCGCGCATGTAGAAACACAGGTTTATAGGTTATTAAAGAGTCGAATCATAAATATATTACATGTATAACAGATATGTACAGCAGCTATTAAAACAGACTTGCTTAAACACTACCTCTTAAAGGTCACTTTATGTAAAAAATCTCTTTACGGTGAACCTATCGTATCTGCACTGTATAGTGTATACTGCACATTAGGGTCCGACCTATAGTGAATGATTTTTGGACCCCAGCCCTCCCTCCCCCCTCCTATAAAAAATCCAAAAAGGGTCCAAAAATAGTATACGAGGAAATTACCGCACATTACACGAGGAAATTACCGCACATTACACGTAGTGCAGGGAGGCATCGAAGGCACATATAGAGGGTGGAGGGGTGGAAATCGCAAGATCAATTATTTTATTTTATTTCTCAGCAATACGATTTTTGGACACCTCCAGCTCCTGTCAATTTTGTACATGGATCTTATGTATTTAAGACATGGATAAAGTTCAACAAGGTTATATTTGACCATGTGGTCACAGCTCCGGCCTCGAATCCTGTCATAGCCGCGGCGCTCGGCCCTCATAGCAGCTGTCCTATAGCAGCAGCGCTCGGCCCCGAAAGTGTCTTAACTTAACCTGTAAACCCTAAATATATACTAATTTTGTTGAAAATTTTTGAAATTGAAGGCCCGTTCTGGCCGCAGCGCTCGGCCGGCCCCAGCCTCCTATGCCACATGCGCTCGGTCCAGAAATTGTCTTTATAACCTAACATATGCCCCTAGTGTAATACAAAATCACTTAAAATTAATGGTCATGTACAAAATTAATAGAAGGGGGGACGGACCTGAAGGATTTAAACTTATTATTAATTTGTGTGCACACACACTGCACTGCAGTCAGTTATGTTATTCAGAACGTAAATACTTGCATGCAACGTGCAAAATTATAATATTTTTTGAGCAAAATCAGTTGTTCTCAAAATTACGCAATTGATGTGCAGCTGGATGCATTATAAAATATAAACTTAATAAGATAATTTATTACCAGTTAATCTTCGAAATGTTGAACGTATACGACTTCTTATTCCGATTGCGCGGAATAACTTTAATGCGTGATCACTATGCACTGACTGAGGCTATTATTGATCCGTTTTTACCAGTTTCTCCCCCCACTCTCATCTACCCGGACCGGCTTAAGGGGTTGAAAAGGAGTGTAGGCATTGGTCATCTTCCCCCCCCCCCACCCCCAGCAATCCGGCCTGGACAAAGGTCGCCTTGTTGAGATAGGGGTTGGGGCATTCTGACCCATATTGCCCTGCTTGAAGGGGGGGGGGGGGCTACGGTATGGGTTGACCTGCCCAGGACACAGCTGGATTTCATTAGATGTTTCTATCCTTAATTTCTTAGTTCAGATTATAATATTTAAAAAAGCCAAAGCATGGATGGATTATAAATTGATCATTTTTAAACCATGATCTCTTAAAGAAAAAGATCAAATGTGATCATTAATATTCCCCCCCCTCTCCCTCCCTCTTCTCATAAAGAATTGTGTTGAAAGCATGCCCCTGATCGCCCTGAGTTGAGGCCTGTAAAGCAGTGACAGGGCAGACTTTTCATATGTAAACATCTTTAAACCAAGAAACTGGTTTTGCTTTAGAAGGCCCGTTCCGTAACAATCGAGGGGGGCTCGGGGGGCACAGCTCTGGGTCACAACTATACTGCAGGATCATTTTTCTTTTCTCAACAATAAAAAATTTTCTGCACTCATTCAGTTTCTTTATTTTTATGTGAAAATGAAATGTTAAATTTTAAATCATTTCTAACATTTTGAGCGGTGCACCTTATATTTCCCAATTCTTTAATACATGATTTAAAACTTTTTTAGCGCTATTATAAGTAACAATGAAGATCAATTGAAATTCAAGATTTTCTTTTTATTCAAACTCCAGCATATTCTATAGTTGCATGTGAGATTTATAAAACTAGAATTTTGGCAAACTGAATTATTTTCATAAATTATCTTTTTCATGCAGACATTTACATCCTTTTTTCATGCTTTTACTAGTTCCAAAGATAATTTTCGGCTGTTCATGGCTCATGCAATAAATTATTAATATTAGGTTTCATAGTCTTTAACTCTTATCTTCTCAACATGTTATCTGAACAGAGTTTTCAAGGGCGTATACAGAGGGGGGCATGGGGGCAGTACCCCCCTAGAAATCAGAGCTTTCACCTTTTCAAATTTTAAACTGAAGAGAGAAGAACATCAAAGTTGGCTGTTCATTCAGTGCACTAAGAAAATTGTAAACGTGGACCAGAGCCACCATTGGCAGATTTCCGAATGAAAAATCTATCTAGAATGCACATTCATGTTAATCGGATGGGCGCTATCAGGGAATGGGATAGCAAAGTAAACAGTTATTTTTAAATGCCAAGCCACGAAGGCTTCAGTTTGGAGGTAGTAAAAGATCATTTTTTTTTTTTTTAATTTAGATTTAATTTACTTTAATCATTGCACCGCCGTTTTGTAATCTTTGCTTGTACCCATGGAATTTTAAATATCGAATTAAAACAAAAAACTTATAATTTATTTAGCTTATGTCATCCCCAAGGGTATCTATGAGTTTCCTCACTAAAATTCAGCCTATTTGATTCAGCCGTTTGGCCATCCATAGCAAACACATAAATGATCTATAAGTGATTTATTATTATTATATCTTTGCATATATACTTTGTATAATTGTACTCCTACTTTTTTTTCACAACTGAAACTTTTTCAAGTCATTTACTTTGTCCTTTTTTTTATCTCATAGAATTTAAGTTGAATTGTTTGGTTTTTCATGTCTTTTACTAGTATAATAATAATTATTACAAACACAAAGTATCATAAAATGTCGATATATTAGAAACAATGCTTTTTTTGCTAGTTTTGTTTGAAGGAGAGATAAAGAAAAGTACTTGCAAGCAGTGGCGGATATAAGGGGGGTTATTGGGGTTATTTACCCCCCCCTAGAATCCTGGGGGTAAATACCCCCCCTAGAATCTTGGAGGTAATTACCCCTGAACATATATTCAGGCCCTGAATAGCAGGGGTTCCTCCACTTGCTGCCTCTTCAAGTTCTAGTTGCCTTGACCCCTTCACTTAAAAAAAAATATATTCCCTATTGCTTAGTCTGCACTCAAGTGTAAAGACTTCTATTTTCATGATAGTAAAAGTTTTTGCGGCATTTTGCAGATGCCTAAACAGTTATAAGCTTTGAAAACTGTTTAAAATTTAAACAAAAAATATAAACGGAATTGTATATTGATAATTAGGTTGCTAACATGGCTACGGAACACCATGAAAACAGAAAGGCTATCTAGCCTTGCACTCATGCACTCCCATCCAGGGGTGTACGAGGGGGGGCCGCGCCCCCCCCTCCCNTTAAGCAGTTATATATGACAACCTGACTGATGTAGGAGGACAGGGGCAAGTGGGCGGCTGTCAACAACTCTCGCAGCGAAAGGGTGCGTTCTTTCTACTCAACAAGAAAGAAGCTTTAAGTGGATTGATCCAAGTGAATGACTATAGATGTTTAAGAGAGGAAAGGTGGACAAGCAGTGAGATTCTATGGTTTCCAGTTATAGGCACTTGGGGGTATCCCATCCAGGCTTACACATGTTTGGGAGCAATGAGTGTGATGTTTCCTGTAAAGAAGCCAAATGTTTTGAATTTACAGTTTAAATTTTGCCCCCCCCCCCGGGCAACTCCTTTGGGGGGGGACCAATTTTGCACCCCCCCCCCCCCACCACATTTAATTCTGTATATGCCCTTGAGTTTTATGATCAATTGCATGATAGACAAAATTTTTGTGCAATGTAATTGTTAAAAATCAGTTTTTTAGTCTTGATTCATAGATTTTAACATTTTCTGATGTTTTGGGATAAAAAAAAATCATAAAATGTTTATCCAGCGGAGCACACCTCCTTATTATATGCATCTATGCATTTTTTAAAACTTTGTGCCCCCCCCCCACAAACAGTTTCAACACAACACACTTTTTAAATAATAACACCATATTAAAATTCCATCCAACAATTTGATTATGTCATATATACTATAAGCCATTAATTATTCATTGGCTCAATAACTTGTAAACTTCACAGTCGTCTTCTTATTCCGCAGATTATGGGAGTGGGACCCAGGGGCGTGCGAGGGGGGGGGGGCTCTTTTAATATTATATCTGCTTGCATTTCCCTTCCTCAGGCAATCTACATTCTATTTCTACATTGCATGCATTGCGTTGCACTCACCCAAACTAAAAGATTAAGAAAAGAAATAAAATATATTCTGATTCACAACAATACCTTTCAAAGCTTTGTCTGATCAAGTATTGCATTAAGAATCCATGTTTCCCTTTTTGAAAACTGAATATTTTTATTTGTGGTTTCTCTACAAAAGTGACTCGCACATTTCTTGCTTCAAAAACGATGGAGAAATGAAGATTTTAAAGGTACGTTGGATATGCCACTCTATAAATGGAGAGTCACTTAAATTAAGCATGTATTCCATTAAGTATAATTACATCTCTGCACTGTTGCCCTTAACTAAAAAAGTTTCATTATAAAAAGCTTTAATCAATACTGCCTTCAGTGTAAATATATATTTGCTATAATATTTGATAATACAATATGTATCAATCCTATTAAAATATAGATAATTTTTTAGAAACATTTCCATCTATGTTTTTCATCCCTTGAAGCTTACACCACAGTATTAAGAGGGATTGCCTGATTTTGTAGGTCCTCCCACTTGGCAACATTGTGCCCCCCCCCCCTTAAGAAATTACATAAATAATTTATTTTAACGCTTGTAATATGGAAGTGCGTATATGATCAAATAGTTTACATAGTCAAGAAAGGTATCAATATTTTTTTCAAAAAAGGGGTTTTTAAGGAGTGGGCACAAAAATATGCAACCCCCCCCCCCTCCCCTACACAAATGCTCTGGTACGCCCCTGGTGGGACTCACTGTAAATTTAAAAAAGGGAAAAAAATTTAAAATGTTTTAATTAAAAGTTGAAGTACTTTAAGATTCCGAGAAGAATAGGATATTTTGTTTGTTTATAAATATATATTTATTTATATACAGGGTGATTTGCGGCGCCTGGTGCAATATTGTACCTTTTTTTGCGCAACTCTCCTGTATGGTGTTTTTTCAATATTTTTTGAAAATTTGTAACTTTTTTTGGCCAAAAGAAAATCCGCGAATCTTTTTTTTCTCTCAAAATCAAAAGTCCAGAAAAGCAATTAAATGTGTATTCATATTATTTCTCTCGAAAATCTAAAATTTTATTAAGATTGAATCACAGAATCCCAGAAAATTGGCAAAATTGTAATAAGAAAATTAGCAATTTTTAGTTATGGTCTAATTTTTACGGAAAGGTTATTTAAATGCTGAAGTTCCTTTCTTCTTAGTATATTCTAAAGTATTAAATATACGCTGTTCAGTTGAAACCTTGAGAACCATAGAAAAATAATTTTTCCGTAAAAATTATACCAGAACTGAAAAATTGCGAATTTTCTTATTACAATTTTGCCAATTTTCTGAGATTCTGTGATTCAATCTTTTTAAAATTTTAGATTTCGATAGAAACAATTTATTTACACATGTTTGCTTTTCTGAACTTTTGATTTTGAGAGAAAAAAGGTTCGCGGATTTTTTTTTTGGGCCATTGAAGTAACAAAAAAAATTACAAATTTTAAAAATACCCTACAGGAGAGTTGCACAAAAAAGGTACACTTTTGCACCAGGCGCCGCAAATCACACTTTTTTTTGACTCACCCTGTATATAAATATATATATAACAATAATTTTCCTTATTTTTCACAAATTAATTGCCTTGCATTCATGTCCCAGAAATTTCCTATGAAAAATAAAATAAATTTATCTTGAATATTTTCTTCTTAAACGCAATTATTAAAGTAAAGTAGTCTCAAAATACACATTAACAAACTAAAATATATTTTTTCCCGCTTAACTAGTGTTTAACGAAAAACGTCATAAGAAAAATAACGAGGAAAAGCGGTGGCTTTTTATTCACATTTTTTACATGATATACTCAGGGGCGGATACAGGGGGCGGCAGGACCTTAGCACCCCCTGACGGATTCAGG